TGTTTTAATTTTTAGATTTTAGATTTTTCAATTTTTCAATTTTTCCATTTTTTGATGCTTCGATTTCTCGATTTTCCAGTTTTTCATTATTTTAATTCTTCAAATTTTTAAAATTTTATACTTTTCGATTGCTCGACTTGTAGAATTTTCGATTTTTTTTCGGTTTTTCGATATTTCGATGTTTCGATTTGATTGCTCTATTTTTCGATTTTCAAGTTTTCGATTTTTTAAGGTTAATTTTTTTAATTTTTCAATTATTCGATTTTGGGCTAATAATTTCCCATTTTTTTGATTTTTTGACTTTTTCACTTTTCGATTTTTGGATCTTTTGAAGATTCAGTTTTTCAATTTTTCGTTGTCTGAATTTTTCGATTTCTCCATTTTTCGGGTTTTCGAATTTTTAATTTTTTTTATTTTTAAACTTTAAATTTTTTGATATTTCAGTTATTCGATTTTTAAATTTTTTTCATTCTTAAGTGTTTTAATATTTTAATTTTTCCACTTTTTAAATTTAGTATTTTCGATTGCTCGATTTCTCGACTTTTCAGTTCCTCGATATTTCTATTTTTCTTTCAATTTTTCGAATTTTTATAATTTTTGATCTTGCAGTTTTTGGACTTTTCTTAATTTTTCAACAATTGAATTTTGTGAAATTTTTCATTTCTGGGGTTTTTAATTTTTCCATTTATTAATGTTTTGACTTTACGGATTTTGATTTTTTAATCCAACAACTTTTAAAAATGTTTTGATCTGTCATTTTAGCGATTTATCGACATTCGATTTAGATGTGCTAATTCCAAAAATGTAGAATTTTTTTGGTTCCAGGTTGATGCTTCAATTGTCGATTTGTAAATTTTTCGTTATATTAATTTTTCAATTTTATATTTTTTGATCCCTCGACTTGCCAAATTATCGAATTTTTTGCCAAGTTTTCGATTTTTTCAAGTTTAATTTTTTAAAGTTTTCAATATTTCGACTTCTCATTTTATTAATTTTTCAATTTTTTGATGTTTGGATTCTTTTTCTCGGTATTTCGTTCTTTCGGGTTTTGGATTTTTTAGTTTTTGGATTTTTAAATTTTAGATTTTTCAATTCTTCAATGTTTCAGTATTTAAATTTTTCCATTTTTTTTTTAATTTTGTATTTTCGATTGCCCAATTTCTCGGTTTCTCAGTTCTTAGATATTTCTATTTTTCAATTTTTCGAATATTTTGAATTTTTGATTTTACAATTTTTGGACAACTTTTCGATTTTTAGATATCTCAGTTTTTCAACAATTCAGTTTTGGGAATTTTCTCACTTCTGAGTTTTTTGATTTTTCGATTTACTTATTGATGTTTCAAATGTTTGATGTTTCTGTTTTTCGGTTTTCTGGATTTTTCAATTTTTTAAATTTTATATTTTTCGATTGCTCGACTTGTCGAATTTTCGATTTTTTCAGTTCTTCGATATTTCTATTTTCGATTTCTCCCTTTAACGAGGTTGGATGTTTCGCTTTTTTGATTGCTCCATTTCTCGATTTTCAAGTTATCGATTTTTTCAAGTTTAAATTTTTTTATTTTAAAATTTTTCGATTTTGGGCTATTTCGATATCTCATTTTTTTTTCATTTTTCGACTTTTCGACTTATCGATTTCTGGATCTTTTCAAGTGTAAGTTTTTCAATTTTTCGATGTTTGGATTTTTTTCTCGATATTTTGATTTTTTGGGTTTTCAATTTTTTAATTTTTCGATTTTTCAATTTTTGAATTTTTCGATTTTTCAATTTTTGAATTTTTTGATATTTCAATTTCTAGATTCTTTAATGTTTCAGTATTTAAATTTTTCCATTTTTTAAATTATATATTTTTGATTGCTCAATTTCTCGGCTTTTGAGTTCTTAGATATTTTTATTTTTTAATTTTTCGAATATTTTGAATTTTTGATTTTACAATTTTTGGACGACTTCGATTTTTAGATATCTCAATTTTTCAACAATTCAATTTTGGGAATTTTCTCACTTCTGGGTTTTTTAATTTTTCGATTTACGTATTGATGTCTCAAATGTTTGATGTTTCGGTTTTTCGATTTATTGGATTTTTAAATTTTTTAAATTTCATGTTTTTCAATTGCTCAACTTGTCGAATTTTCGATTTTTTTTCAGTTCTTCGATATTTCTATTTTTCGATTTCTTCCGTTAACGAGATTTCGATTTTTTGATTGCACCATTTCTGGATTTTCAAGTTTTCGATTTTTTCAAGATTAAATTTTCAAATTTTTCAAATTGTTCCATTTTGGGCTATTTCGATTTCTCATTTTTGTGTTTTTTTTTTGATTTTTTGATCTCTGTATCTTTTGAAGTTTCAATTTTTCAATTTTTTAATTTTTCGATTTTTAAATATTAGATTTTTCAATTTTTGGATTTTTGTGATATTTAATTTCTCAATTTTTCGATTTTTTCATTCTTCAATGTTTCAATATTTTAAATTTTCCGTTTTATAAATTTTGTATTTTCGACTGCTCGATTTCTCGAAGTTCTTCGATATTTCTGTTTTTCAATTTTTCGAATTTTGAAAATTTTTTATTTTACAATTTTTGGACTTTTCGATTTTTAGATTTCTCAATTTATCAACAATTCAGTTTTGGGAATTTTTTCATTTCTGGGTTTTTTAATTTTTCGAGTTATTTATTGATTTTTCGATTTTTCGACTTTTCGGATTTCGATACTTAGAATTTTTTTAAGTGTCATTTTCTCGTTTTATCGACATTCCGATGTTTCAATTTTTCGATATTTCGATTTTCCAGTTTTTCGACCTTTCGGGAAGCATTATTTCATTTTAAATAAATTTCTTATCGTTGAAATAACTTTCGACCATTTTTTTAATCTCCTGATTTTACTCTAGAATCGGCATCAATCGAATTCAGAAACAAAAACTGTCATAATTCAATGGGCGATTCTGGAAAAATGGTACGATTTATCGAATAAGTGACGCCGAAAGTAACTTCTGTAAGTCGAAATGTACAAGAAAATAACTTTAGTTAAGTTTCCAGGTGATCAAAAGCTCCGAAAGTTTCATAATTATCGAAAAATTTTGGTTTTCGAAACGTTGTCTAAAAATTTTGAAAAAATTCTGGAACATAGATTTAGATGTGCTGAGTCCAAAAATGTAGTATTTTTTGGGTCCCAGGGCAGGACTCTAGGAATATTCGCTTTGAAATGCATTTTTTTTAAATCCAAAATACTGTCGTAATTCAATAGGTGATTTTGGAAAAATGGTAACATTTAACGAAGAAATGAGTCTGAAAGTAACTTTTGCAAATCGAAATGTAGAAGAAAATATCTTTACTTAAGAAAATTTCGAAATTTTCATAATTAATGAAGAATTTTGGTTTTGGAAAAGTTGTCTAAAAATTCTAAAAACGTTGTGGGATGTAGATTTTGATATGCTGAATCCAAAAATAAGGCATTTTTTTGTCTCTGGATAGGATTTTAGGACTATTCGTTTTGAAAAGCTATTTTTTAAAAAATCTGAAAAATTGTCAAAATTCAGTAGGCGATGTAAATTTTCATGCTTAATTTAAAAAATTTTGGTTTTGGAAAGTTGTCTGAAAATCCTCAAAAAATTCTGGGATATCGATTTTAACGTGCTGATTCCAAAAATACAGCTTTTTTATGGTTCCGAGGCACGATTTTAATAATATTCTGTTTGAAATGCAATTTTTTAAAGCAATCCAAACACTGTCACATTTGAATGGGCGATTCTGGAAAAATGGTACGAATTATCGAAGAAATGAGCCCGAAAGTAATTTTTAGAGCTCAAAATGTACAAGAAAATATTTCTAGTTAAGGCGAAGTATTATCAACGAAAATGTAACCCTAGAAGAACTTTTGAAATAGAACTTAAGATTTAGCAACCAAAAAAAAAATGCGAAGGATGAGAATGAGAATGTGTACTTTTAATTTTCACTACGTTAATACTCTAAAATCAGCGCGAAGAACTTAAAACAACGCCTTGTTTCCATTTTCCTCTCGAAATCTTTACTCCAACTTGCGAACACAGTACCCGATTTGTTTACACTTTCCACATTACCCTAATTAAAATCCCCACAAGCTTGGAACAGCCATCCGCAAAATATCGAAAGGTTACGACTCCGTAAATTTGATACACTGCGAGATAATATACTGGAGATATCGGAGATTTTCCATTATACCCCCTTTCGTCTTCGAATAAAACGAGAAGATCTTCCATTAATTATTGCCGCGTTTGTGAGCTGTTAATTTATTTACGTTTTAATAAAACTGGTAAGCTAAGAAAGTTATTTTATGGAAATGCGGTTTATTAAAATGGAACAGTTGTTTGCTTTGTAGAGATTAAAATGTTGCCGAAAATGCGCCAATTACGCGCCATTCTTCAACAAGTAGGCTTAAAATAGACTCCAAAAGCGTGTAAAACACCGTGTGTTGGTTGCCTTCTTCTAGTTGTTATTTTGCGATTTTGACTTGAATGATTCACATTACGCAATTCTCTTATTTGTGAAAACTTCAATATCGACACAAAGCCCCTTTGTTGACATTTAAGCACAGACGGGCTTCGAACAAAGCTTTAAAAGTTGTCTCTTTAACAAACATGACATTTAAAAAATACTTGTGCCATTTTTCCACGTAAAGCTCGAATCACATCCGCCAATCCGCCGCCCACCTGGCCAAAGAAATTTCATCCGGCGGCCACAAACAGGAATTAAAATTTGCGATCCTGCTTCGTCCTGCAAAAAAATTTGGAACGGTCGAAATAATAGAGCTTTATTTGCTTACCTATCCTCCAGGAAATAATACAAAAATTTCAATCAACCCCCGTTCCATTCTTTCCATTTCCTCGCCAATTATTGCAAAAACCACCCCGGAGTGGAACGCTTCTCTTCCATTTCCGTTGTTAAATCGATCTGCTTTTGCAGAAACGGAAAAACGTCCTGTTTGTTTTCGCTTGTGGAATTCCTCGAATTCTGAATATTTCAATTATTCAGTTCCAGACCACATACGGCCCAGGGTGTGCTCCCTTCCGGAGAAGGCTTACAACCCTCGGCTCAGCGATGATCTCTACCGGTTGAGGACTTTCAGTATTACGAACAAAGGGGGTGTAGTCAATTGCGGAGATTCCATTATAAACAGGAGATCCAGGTCTAATACCAGCGTCAACTCCACGGCCAGCAGGTAAGTGCAAAATTTATGCGTCGCGGTTAAATGAAACTCGCGAAAATTCTAAAAGCTGCGTTGTGTCGTAAATACCACAATATGTTAAACACCGTCACACGTGGAAGAACAATTCCCCGAATGAATTATGTATATACTTCTAAATGGAGAAGTACGCCTCAGCGGCGTCTAATTTGAGCGGTCAGCCCGGAAAAATGATAAAAGTCCTCGAACAAAGGGCAACTTTAGCAGTTTCGCTGCAACTTCCATAACTCCGCTTATTACAAAGTTGAGCTCTTTATCAGCTGCGCTAAAATAAATTTGCATAACATTTCCACTTTACGCCGTACATTTAGCTGCAGGCCACTCTGTTGCAGCAACGTCCGGTTTTATTCAACGGCAACCAATCTGTCTTCGCTTTCACGACGTGAATAAAACCCTGATAAAATCCAACGGTTCGCATTCAAAGTTCAAATGAAAAATCAGAGCGACGAACTAACGACACAATAGATCGAGAATGACCCTCGAAAACAAACGGCCGCGTCATGCGAATTTCGCCGGTTATGGATTCCAATTTCCTGTGCTGTGCTTCAGGTGGACGATATAAAATGCAAACAGTCACTCAGAGTTAATTAAATTTTTATCAGTTTTTCGCATAAAGGTGGACGTCCCCAGGCGCATCCAGCATTTATGAGAGATTCGATCCGGCTTAATTTTGAGGGATTCGTAGACGATGAAGTATTTAAAGGGCGATAAGTTAGTTACATTTGTAAGGGGTTCGTGTGCTGGAAACTGAAAGGTCATTGAGCAAAATTAGAATGTTGGTATTCAGTTTTGTTGAAAAACCCGTAATGTTTAAACAAACTACGATTTTTTTTGTAACTGTGGGAAATATAAATTCTACTGACTGCGCCATTTTATTGCTTGAAAAAATGCATCCTATATATCAAAGTTAAATAAAGTGTAATATTTTAAACAAAAAATAAACATCAGGAGTTGCTACTGTACCCGAAAATTCTTAATTACGTCACAAAAGACTATCCCCAGCGGGCAAAGACAGTCTCCTAAGTTCGAAATTCAGTAGAACACGATAAAAGAAAGTACTTCGAAGAGAATTTTATCCTTATTTGGGCATATAACTTTAAAAATCTTCTTTATTTCGTTATTTCCAGATCAAGTTGACCAAGTTTGCGTCTTGTTAAAAAAATTGTGTAGACACCAGGTTAAGAAATAATGAAGTGTATATTTCAAGAATTTTTAAAAAACTTTTATACAAAGTAACATAAACTAGAAGGAATGATGCAACTTTTTAAATATCGTACTTAATACCATGAAAATAGGAACAAATTTGCCAAATACCTTGCAGGTCAAGTCAGGTCAGGTCAAATTTAAAAATACTGGAGACAAAATAACAAGAGAGGCTCTAATTTGAACTAAAGTAGAACATCTTTTTGTAAATCGATTTCGATTAATTCAGTTTTCCCAATAAAACACATTTTTTCGTTAATTCAATGAAGTACAGTTGAAACAAGTGTCTACTCTTCTTGATCTTGATCTTCCGATACCAATGAGTAAGTTTCAAGACGATTTGACACTTTTTAAATTTTTTGGATAAAAATGGTGGAGGCGCCGGGACAATAATATTAAAAAATACATTTATTTGACAAATTTTTCGGGAATTTATACATACAATATTATATTTTCCAAGAAATTATGCATTTCTTCATACATCTCGAAATTTGAGCGAAAATAAGAGCACAAATTCTGATTTCAACCAAAGTAGATGATCCTATTTTGAATCGATTTTGATTATTTTAATTTTTTTCAGGAAGGCCCATATTCTCTGGATTACTCAAAGAAATAGAACTGAAATGTCAATCTATTCTTCTTTTTCTTGTGCTTAATTTTTCTCAGGAAAACCCATATTTTCTAGATTATCCGAAGAAATAGAACTGAAATATCAAGATTTTTTTTTTATAGAAATGGTGTTGACATTGTGATAATAACTATTTAAAAATTAAAAATTGTAGATGAACTGTTCTTTCTTCTAAGAGGTTTTTTAAACTGCAGACAAAATAACAAGAAAGGCACTAATTTAAACCAAAGTAAAATATCTTCTTTTGAATCGACTTCTACTAATTCAATTTTCCCAATAAAAACACATTTTTTGTTTAATGCAAAGAAATACATTTGATACAAGAGTCTAATTCTTCTTCATCTTGGTCTTCCGATACCGATGAGCAGGTTTCAGGACTATCTGACAAATTTTAATTTTTTGGGTCAAAATAGGACAATAATTTTAAAAAATTTCTTCATTTGACAAATTCTTACGGAATTTGTACATAAAATATTACTTTTACCAAGACATTGTGCATTTCTTGATAGAGCTGGAAATTTGAGAGAAAATAAGAGCACAAATTTTGATTTGAAGCAAAGTAGATGATCCTCTTTTGAATCGATTTCGATTATTTTAATTTTTCTCAGGAAAGCCCATATTTTCTGGATTATTCTTAGAAATGGAACTGAAATGACAATCTATTCTTCTTTTTCTTGTGCTTCCGATGGGAATGAGCAACTTTCGGGATGATCTAATCAAGAATTGTTTTTTTCTAAAAATGGTGTTGTCGTCGGGGTAAAAACTAATTTAAAATATTTCTCACCATGTTCTAAGAAATTTTTGTATTAACCATCCTTTCTTTTAATAGATTTTTTAAAATCTGGACAAATTAACGAGAGGAGCACTAATTTAAACTAAAGTAGAAGTTCTTCTTTTGAGTTGATTTAGTTTAATTCAATTTTCCCAATAAAAATACATTTTTTCGTTGATTCGAAGAAATACAGTTGAAACAAGGGTTTATTCTTCTTTCTGTTTGTCTTTCGATACCAATGAGTAAGTTACTAGCCGATTTGACACTTTTCAAATTTTTTGTGTAAAAATGGTGGAGGTGCCGGGATCATAATATTAAAAAAATATATTTCACAAATTTTTATTGAAATTGTACTTAAAGTATTAGATTTTACATGAAACTATGCATTTCTTGATAGACCTGGAAATTTGAGAGAAAATAAGAGTACAAATTTTGATTTTAAGCAAAGTAGATGATCCTTCTTTGAATCGATTTCGATTATTTTAAGTTTTCTCAGGAAAGCCCATATTTTCTGGATTATTCGTAGAAATAGAACTGAAATAACAATCTATTCTTCTTTTTCTTGTGCTTCCGATGGGAATGAGCAACTTGCGGGATGATCTAATCAAGATTTTTTTTTCTAAAAATGGTGTTGCCGTCAGGGTAAAAACTAATTTAAAATATTTATTTCACCAAGTTTTAATAAATTTTTGTATAAACCATCCTTTCTTTTAATAGATTTTTTAAACTCTGGACAAATTAACGAGAGGGCAACAAATTTAAACTAAAGCAGAAGTTCTTCTTTTGAGTTGATTTAAATTAATTCAATTTTCTCAATAAAAATAAATTTGTTCGTTGATTCAAAGAAATACAGTTGAAACAAAGGTCTATTCTTCTTTATGTTTGTCTTTCGAAACCAATGAGTAAGTTTCAAGACGATTTGACATTTCAAATTTTTTGTGTAAAATTGGTGGAGGCGCCGGGATTATAATATTTAAAAAAATATATTTCACAAATTTTTATTGAAATTGTACTTAAAGTATTAGAGTTTACATGAAATTATGCATTTCTTGATAGACCCGGAAATTTGAGAGAAAATAAGAGCACAAATTTTGGTTTTAAGCAAAGTAGATGATCCTCTTTTGAATCGATTTGAATTATTTTAATTTTTCTCAAGAAAGCCCATATTTTATGGATTATTTGAAGAAATAGAACTGAAATAGCAATCTATTCTTCTTTTTCTTGTGCTTCCGATGGGAATGAGTAACTTTCTAAAAATGGTGTTCCCGTGGGGTTAAAAACTAATTTAAAATATTTATTTCACCATGTTCTAAGAAATTTTTGTATAAACCATCCTTTCTTTTAATAGATTTTTTAAACTCTGGACAAATTAACCAGAGGGGCACTAATTTAAACTAAAGTAGAAGTTCTTCTTTTGAGTTGATTTAGATTACTCCAATTCTCCCAATAAAAATACATTTTTTCGTTGATTCGAAGAAGTACAGTTGAAACAAGGGTCTATTCTTCTTTATGCTTGTCTTTCGATACCAATGTATAAGTTTCAAGACGATTTGACATTTTTCAAATTTTTTGTGTAAAATTGTGGAGGCGCCGAGATTATAATATTAAAAAAATTTATTCACAAATTTTTAGGGAAGTTGTACATAAAATATAAGATTTTAGATGAAATTATGCATTTCTTGATAGAGTTGGAAATTTGAGACAAAATAAGAGCACAAATTTTGATTTTAAGCAAAGTAGATGGTCCTCTTTTGAATCGATTTCGATTATTTTAATTTTCCTCTGGATTATTCGTAGAAGTAGAACTGAAATAACAATCTATTCTTCTTTTTTTTTTCTGCTTCACATGGGAATGAGCAACTTTCGGGATGATCTGAAGAAAATTTGTTTTTTGTTTTGATAATAATGGTGTTAATATCGGGGTAATAACTATTTTAAAATATTTGTTTCACCAAGTTTTAAGAAATTTGCATATGAACTTTCCCTTCTTTTAGTAAGTTTTTTACACTCTTGACAAAATAACAAGAGAGGCACTAATTTGAAGAAAAGTAGAACATTTTGTTTTGAATCGTTACTATTAATTCAATTTTTCAATTGAAACACATTTTTTCGTTAATTCAAATAAATACACTTGAAACCAATGTCTCTCGCAATATCAATGAGCAAGTTTTAAGTCGATTTTATACTTTTTAAATTTTTGGGTAAAAATGGCGGAGGCGCCGGGACAATAAATTTAAAAAATATATTTATTTGAAAAATTCTTAGGGAATTTGTACACAAAATATTACCTTTTACAAGAAAATTATGCAGTTCTTGATAGAACTAGAAATTTGAGCGAAAAAAAGAGCACAAATTCTCATTTCGACCAAAGTA